TTTTAAACCCGGAGTAACACATCTTCTTACAATATAATAAACTTGGAAAAACCATTTTCTTTAATCTCTTCACCAGATTAAATATTCTCGAATCTAAAATCTTGAGTAAAGATTTTCTAGAATCTCGTAACCTTGTAATCTTGGAGTAAACCTTTTGTTGAAGTTCGTATGACTGCAGTAAGCATATTCATGTAACTCATCAACCTGAAGTACGCTTTTCATGAAATTTTTAACGTGGATTAAATATTCTTCCCCAGTATAGACCTAATCTTGAACCCTTTAATTCCAAAAACATTTTCTTGAATCTTATAAACTTTGTGAAAACATATTCTTGTTCTTATAAGCCTGTAGAAAACATTTTCATAAAACGTAAAACCCTACCGTTGACATATTATTGAATCTTATAACCTGAAATAACCATGTTGTTTGAAACGGAAAAAATACATAATCTTGAATCTTATAAACCTAGAGTAAACATATCCTGGAATCTTAAAGGCTGGATTAAACCTATTCTTAATCTTATAGATCTAGAGTAAACATCTTCTTGAATCTTTTAAACCTGTAGTGAACATATTCTTGAAACCTATAGACCTGAGTAAACATATTCTTGAATCCTGTAGTAAACATATTCTTGAATCCTGTAGTAAACATATTCTTGAATCCTATAAACATGTAGTAAACGTATTCTTGAATCCTAAAAACCTGGAGTAAACATACTCTTGAATATTATAAACCTGAAATGAACATATTCCTGAATCCTATAAAACTGTAGTAAACATATTCTTGAATCCTGTAAACCTGTTGTAAACATATTTTTGAATCCTATAAACCTGTAGTGAACATATTCTTGAATCCTATAAACCTGTAGTAAACATATTCTTGAATTCTATAACCTGTAGTAAAAATAGTCTTGAATCCTATAACCTGTAGTAAAGATAGTCTTGAATCCTATGAACTTGTGGTCAACATTTTCTTGAATCTTTTAAGCCTGTAGTAACATGTTCTTAAATTCTATAAACCTGTGGTAAACATAGTCTTGAATCCTATAAACCTGTAATAAAATGTTCTTGAATCCTAATAACCTGTGGTGAACATATTCTTGGATCCTGTAAACCTGAAGTAAACATACTCTTGAATCCTATGAACCTGGTGTAAACATATTCTTGAATCCTTCAAACCTGTATCAAACATATTCTTGAATCCAAAGAACCTGTAGTAACATATTCATGAATCCTTTAAACCTGTAGTGAACATGTTCTTGAATCCTATAGACCTGTGGAAAACATATTCTTGACTCCTATAACCTGGAGTAAACATACTCTTGAATCTCATAAACCTGGAGTAAGCCCATTCTTGAGTCCTATAGACCAAGAGAAAACATATTCTTGAATCCTAAAAACTGTAGTAAACATGTTCTTGAATCCTATAAACCTGTAGTAAAGATATTCTTGAATCCCATAAACCTGTAGTAAGCATGTTCTTGAATCCTATAAACCTGTGGTAAACATATTCTTGAATCCTTTAAACCTGTGGTGGACATACTCTTGAATCCTATAAACCTGTAGAAAACATGTCCATGAATCCTATAAACCTGTGGTAAACATATTCTTGAATCCTATAACCTGTGGTGGACATACTCTTGAATCCTATAAACCTGTAGAAAACATGTTCTTGAATCCTTTAAACCTGGAGTAAACATATTCTTGAATCCTATAAACCTGGAGTGAACATATTCTTGAATCCTATAAACCTGTGGTAAACACATTCTTGAATCCTATAAACCTGAAGTAAACATCCTCTTGAAACCTGTAAACCTGCAGTGAAAATGTTCTTGAATCCTATAAACCTGGAGTAAACATATTCTTGAATCCTATAAACCTTCTTGAATCTTACAAAACTGCAGTAAACTCATTCTTCAATCTCATAATCGTTAAGTAAACATCTTTTTTAAGCTCATGATCTGGTGTAAACCTATTCTTGAATCTTATAAACCTGTATTAAGGATACTTCTTAGATTATCCTCCTGAGCCCGTTCTCTCCTGAGAAAGTGGTCGTGTAGTTCCCGTACTTAGGGGGAAGATAAGTTGGCCGCTAGATGTTTCGTGCTGAATTCTTATCTGATAGATAGATATTTCTCCGTATATTTGACGACCAATATAGAAGACGTCAAGTTGTCGACAAATGTAGTTTATGGAAGGAACGGTCCTGTTGAAATAGCCATTTGAAAGACCGGTTCTGCAGCCTTCTTATCCCTATCATCGTGTCAATATCTCGGCCATAACTAAGCTTGAATGATGGGCATGACGGCCATAAACTAACTTGAAAGGTGGGCACGACGGCCATAACTGAACTTGAACGATGGCACAACGGCCCTAAACTAACTTGAATGATGGACACGACGGCCATAACCTAATTTGAAAGATGGGCACGACAGCAATAAACTAACTTGAATGATGGGCACGACGGCCATAAACACTAACTTTGAACGATGGGCACGACGGCCATGAACTAGCTTGAATGATGGGCACGACGGCCATAAACTAACTTGAATGATGGGCACAACGGCCATAAACTAACTTGAATGATGGGCACGACGTCCAAAAAACTTACTTAAACAATGGCACGACGGCCAAGTAAAACTCTAAAAAAATATCACTACAAGATAATTGTGTGAATGCTTATATATTCAATATTTCCCGTTAAAAACTGACTTTCAGTACTGTGAACCATCCTGAAATAGTTTAAATTTAAGCCCCTAGAACGTGTGGCTTTTGTCGGGCTGCGAGAAAAACTGATCTCGGAACAGACGCGGCAATCAACGAAAAAACAGATTTTCGTCGTCTTTTCTTGAATTTGAACTCGGACCCGCATTTTGTCCCTTGTCGCATTTCGCCATGCCTTTCCAACGAAATCATCACAGTCTGGTTTAAAATAGACCCAAGTTCGCAATGCCGGGCGCTAATGTTGATTCAAAACTCCCCTGGATTAGTCGTCATTAACTGAACAGCAATCAATCAATAATAGCGTAAGGTTTGGAGTTATTTCATTTCTCCGGAGCTAGGAAAGGATTGATCATATCAATTTATTATATCTCTCATGGAGAGGATTAACCTTTATATCGGAGTCTGGACGGGTCGTATATTCTCATCTATCCTCCCTCCTTAACATGGAAGGATTCATTACTCCAGGATATATTCAAGTCTGGATCCAGAACCTTAACTTCACAAAACACCTCTATGCAATGGTGGTGATGTCCGATTTACAAAGGAAATTAACTGATCAAGTATGTATCAGATATCAATGTTTATAATTTTAAAACTAATTATTTTAAATTTTGCTTTATATACTTGCGCAATGCGCATTTCTACTATAGGAAAACAGAGTTAAAAAACGACGACATCTTCCACATTATTGATAAGATAAAGGTTTTAAGGGTACAGCTGTAAATTGGGCATTGCTATCTTTAGAATTACGCTAACAGTCCCTTTAAGGCTGATTCTAACTGGAATAAGTTTAGTACTGTAAGCTTGTTAAATGTTGGATTCTGGAGCCTGCAAGAAAAGAAGTTCCAAGGTTTACAGAAGTTTAATTTGAAGAAGTACTTTCTGCCGACCGTTTAATTTAAACTAAAAAACTATCAAACTAAAAATTTTCTCAATTAAAGGAACTACAAAACTACAAACCTCTCATGTACAAGAGTACAAAACTACAAACCTCTCATGTACAAGAATACAAAACTGCAAACCTCTCATGTACAAGAGTACAAAACTACAAACCTCTCATGTACAAGAGTACAAACTACAAGCTACTAACTTCTCATTTACAAGAGTACAAAACTACAAATCTCTTATTTTAAGAAACTACAAAGCTCCAAACCTCTTATATACAAGAGTACAAAACTATCAAACAACCAAACCCATATTTTACAAAACTATCTAACAACCAAACCAAAATCTTACAAAAATGTCAAATAACCAAACCCATACATTACAAAACTATCAAACAAACAAACCCATACAAAACAAAACTATCAAACAACCAAAAAAAACTTTACAAACTATTAAACAACGAAATTAGAATTATACAAAACTATCAAACAACCCAAAACCCGTATTTTACAAAACTAGCAAACAAACAAATCCATATTTTACAAAACTATCAAACACACAAATCCATATTTTACAAAACTATCAAACAAACAAACCCATATTTTACAAAACTATAAAACAAACAAACCCATATTTTACAAAACTATTAAACAAACAACCCATATTTTACAAAACTATCAAACAAACAAACCCAAAATTATACAGAACTATTAAACAATCAAAAACCAATAGTTTACAAAACTATTTTACAACGGAACCCATAACTTACAAAACTATCAAACAACGGAACCCATAACTCACAAAACTATCAAACAACGGAACCCATAGCTCACAAAACTATCAAACAACGGAACCGATAACTCACAAAACTATCAAACAACGGAACCCATAACTCACAAAACTATCAGAAAATTGAACCCATAAATCACAAAACTATCAAACAATGGAACCCATAGCCCATGATTTACAAAAGCATCAAACAAGTCAATTTAACTGCACAACAAATTAGGAAGCCATGAAAATGGTTTACTCACAAACTTTTTTCTCACATCACTATCGAGTATTAAAACCTTAAATGCAGGGTGATCCAAAAATAATGAGTCTTTATAGAGGACTGTACAGAATGTAACAAGTCTTTTCTCTCACATTCGATGCTTCCTGCAGCTGGAAAAAATACGTTTTTTATGCTAAAAATTATTATTACGTATACAATTTACAAACTGTCTTCAATAAATGATCATTGATTTTTAAGCGTATTAGGGCGTCAAAAAAGTCTCATCGTTTGTGGGTAACCCTGCATATTAGAAGACATACTATGATGCTTGTATTAAAACCACGCGGTTGGAGCTGAATACCTTAACTTTACACCCTCTTTATATTTAATGATAAAGTATGATGAGAGGATATGTTGAGATTGCTCCGGGTACAGATTTAACAGCTCCAGTTTGGAATTCTATTGGTCCAATAAACATCATGGTTTTATCCCCTTCTCCATGCCCTCTTGAGTAAACCCTATACCCTGAGCTAGTGGGATATGGTTTTTATGTTTTTACTCAAGGATATCTTATCTTGTTAACATTTATAATACAGGGAGAACCATTCAAAATAGGACTATATATTGAGGAATTATCCATGGCAAAGTAGATTTCTCCTATCTACCTTCTATCTACCTCCCATCTAACTCCCATCTACCTCCCATCTAACTCCCATCTACCACCATCTACCTCCCATCTACCTCCCATCTACCTCCCATCTACCTCCTATCTACCTCCCATCTACCTCCCATCTACCATCCATCTACCTCCCATCTACCTACCAACTACCTCCCATCTACCTCCAATCTACCTTCCATCTACCCCCAACTACCTCCCACCTACCCCCGATTTAACCTCGTCTTCCTCCCATCTATCTCCCATCTACCTCCCATCTACCACCCATCTACCTCCTATCCACCTCCCATCTACCTCCCATCTACCATCTACCTACCAAATACCTCCCATCTATTTTCAATCTACCTTCCATCTACCTCCCATCTACCTCCTATCTACCTCCCATCTACCTCCAATCTACCTTCCATCTACCTCCCATCTACCTACCAAATACCTCCCATCTACCTCCAATCCACCTTCCATCTACCTCCCATCTACCTCCAATCTACCTTCCATCTACCTCCCATCTTCCTCCAATCTACCTTCAATCTACCTCCAATCTACCTACCAACTACCTCCCATCTACCTCCAATCTACCTTTAATCTACCTCCCATCTACCTCCAATCTACCTTCCAACTACTTCCCATCTCCTTCCCATCTACCTCTCATCTACCTCCCATCTACCTACCAAATACCTACCATCTACCTCCAATCTACCTTCCAACTACCTCCCATCTACCTCCCATCTACCTCTCATCTACCTCAGTTTACTTTCCATCTACCCTCGTTTATCTCCCGTTTAGTTCCGATTAATAAGTATTTAAACTATTTTTTTAATGTTTCTTCTTAAAACGGTTTCTTATTTTTGATTTTATGTTCATCGTTGACAACGATTTTTATAACAAAAAAATGTTAGCGAGTTTTTCGGGAAGGGGACAGAATTTGTAATCTAAGCAAAGTCTTTGATTTAAATAAATTCTCTATCAGTTTTAGTTTATCCATGCAAGCATGTGGATTGCAGAATTCAAATATCAAATTAAACACTTTGTAATGAATGCAGTCTTATTTCAAATTATCAGATTTTAAAATCTACAGAGAGTGAAAATGCACTAGATAACGTAGAAATATTTATAAGATTAATATATCAGAAAAGAAAATAATAAAAATATAAAATTTTACTTTCAAAGTATTTATAAAGTTGTCCTATTTTAATTAGACATTTTTCTGAACGTAATTGTCTAGGTTTCTGTTTTCCTTCAAATTCTTATTCTTTCTTCTAAATTAGACTTCTTAAGTTCCTTTAATAGGTTATGTTGCATGACAATAATAACATACGGCACACATTACTCTTTTACAGGATTACCCCCCCCAAAAAAATTAGACTTCAGAGACGACTTTATGAAATGTATACACTGTTTATTTCCTTATATTAATGATTCACTAAGGCTGTTTATTTGCTTCTTTCTTTTCGAAATCGTTAACTATGCCTTTTAAAGACTAAATCTAGGGCAGAAGTCACAATTAAACCAATTGGCATCGTTATATTTCAATAGTTTCAGGTCGTCTTTACAATCTCATTCCTTGTGAGTAACCCTGTATATTTTATATACCGTAGCAAAAATTACAGTCCTGGCTATAGCAGCCTCTTGGATATTTATCACGTTAAAGCTTAAAAGACACTTTTCTTAGAAAATCCTGAAATGAGATTTGAATAGTAGAAAGCAGTCAGCTGAGCTATAAACATGAAATCCACCGGTAGAATTCTCAGTACACTTATCAAACAAACACAAGGTATAACATTAACAAACAAGCATAGCTGTACACTTATCAAACAAACACAAGGTATAACATTAACAAACAAGCATAGCTGTACACTTATCAAACAAACACAAGGTATAACATTAACAAACAAGCATAGCAGTAGACTTCACAAACAAACACAAGGTATAACATTAACAAACACGTTTAGCAGTAGACTTCACAAACAAACAAGAGATATAACATTAACAAACACGTTTAGCAGCAGACTTTACAAACAAACAAGAGGTATAACATTAACAAACAAGTTTAGCAGTAGACCTCACAAACAAACACAAAGTGTAACATTAACAAACAAGTTTGGCAGTAGACTTCACAAAGAAACAAGAGGTATAACATAAACAAACAAGTTTAGCAGTGACTTCACAAACAAACAAGAGGTATAACATTAAGAAACAAGTTTAGCAGTAGTATTCACAAACAAAAAAGAGGTATAACATTAACAAACAAGTTTAGCAGTAGAATTCACAAACAAACAAGAGGTATAACATTAACAAACAAGTTTAGCAGCAGAATTCACAAAAAAAAACACAAGGTATAACATAAAAAAACAAGTTTGGCAGTAGACTTCACAAACAAACAAGAGGTATAACATAACCAAAGTTTATCAGTAGACTCCACAAATAAAGAAGAGGTATAACATTAACAAACAAGTTTAGCAGTAGACTTCACAAACAAACAAGAGATATAACATTAATAAACAAGTTTAGCAGTAGACTTTTTCGCACAATTAAGCTTCCATTGCATAAACGAAAACTCAACCCTTATGTGGAGTGGAAACACATTTCCTTGGAGTTGAATTTAATTCAGTAAATAAGAAGAAACTACTAAGTCGGGTCTAGCTTTCATTGTTAGAATCGGAACTAATAGATTTATAATCGAGACTGATGAAAAAAATAATCATGTTTAAGGTTTCAATGTTGATGTTGGATCAAGGTTTTCCAGATATCTATCCTCATCTTTTCCAGTTCCCACACTCAGGTTAAAGATATCCATCGTTGTGTTCGATATTTCAAACATGACCAAAGATGGTTAAACGTTTCTAAGATAAAGCAAAAATTTGCATATCAAATATAGAGGATTATTAGCGCTAAATACAAATTTAATAAAGTTTAACCCAGAGCTTAGGAGGCATCAAAAGAATTTATAAAATATCTAAACCTGCTGGTATTAATGCTGCAGATATTTAGTGTTTTAATTAAATAATAATTTAAAACTGTTTCTGCATATTGTAGGGGTATTAATTTGTTCTTCAATTATTGAATTTTAAGCTTAGAAGTAAAAAACCCATTGAAAAATTGCAGGCGACATTTTGAAAAACCTTTCAATGTCTTCGAAGTTCTGGTTTAAAGTAACCTGTAGATTCTTAAAAATCAAGTAAATAATGAAAGGAATATCTAAAAGAATTTATCAAGGCATAACAAACTATAATAATGTTATGTAGCTTTGATATTTCAAGCTATAAATATTGCTAGACAAAACATTGAAGGTTAAAACCGTCAGCTTGCAAACATAAAGTGTTAAAAACTAAGAGTTTGTGGCAAGTATTCAGTTTCTTAACGTCTTACATCAGAATCTTTTTCAGAAAGAACTCTGAGAAAAAGGAAATTCTTCCTTTTTCAGCATTTTTGACGGATACGTTCGGGAGAGAACATGATTACCTTAGAATATCATTAACAGAGAAGTAAGTTTACTGTATCTGTATCTGTATCCGTATCTGTATCTGTATCTGTATCTGCATCTGTATCTGTATCTGTATCTGTATCTGTATCTGTATCTGTATCTGTATCTGTATCTGTATCTGTATCTGTATCTGTATCTGTATCTGTATCTGTATCTGTATCTGTATCTGTATCTGTATCTGTATCTGTATCTGTATCTGTATCTGTATCTGTATCTGTATCTGTATCTGTATCTGTATCTGTATCTGTATCTGTATCTGTATCTGTATCTGTATCTGTATCCGTATCTGTATCTGTATCTGTATCTGTATCTGTATCTGTATCTGTATCTGTATCTGTATCTGTATCTGTATCTGTATCTGTATCTGTATCTGTATCTGTATCTGTATCTGTATCTGTATCTGTATCTAGGTGTAATCTACGATGTAGTTACTGTATGCCCGAAGAAGGAGTGAAGCTTACACCGAAACAAAATATTCTAACTTCAGGTAAAACTCGTTTTTATTTACAGTGCATTTACAGGGTGTCTTGATAAACATTTAAAATCATATTTGCTATACTAGATATTATTTCCTAAACATTTTCTGTCTGCATATATTTGCAATTGCTATGATATAATGTCGTTCTTCCTATTACATTGCATTCTGGTTATCACTGTAAAACATTTAAATCTTTTTATGGGATTTCCAAAATTTCATCATCCTGGTTTTAATTAAAACAATATGAGCAAAATTTCAAGATCTCTAATATTCGACATTTTTTTTTTCAAAAAAAATTTATCCCTCATTAAATTTCGTTCAATTTATACTTTTTTATTAGAAGAAATTATTCATCTGGCAAAAATATTCGTCGGAGAAGGTGTTAAAAAGGTATGTTTTAAAGCCTAACAATAACAATTCAAAAATTATAAAGCCTATAATTTATATTAAATGTATTATTTAAATTCCTAAAAATAACGATTTGGAACAAATGTAGCCTTTAATTTTTAATAAATGAACTTTTTACTATTTAAAATTCTAAAATTTACATTTTGGAATAAATGTAAATTACAATTTCTGTAATAAATGTATTTTTTTCTATTTGAAATCCTAACAATGAAAATTTAAAGTAATAAAACAAAAAAAAATTTTTTTCACTATGTTTAAATCCTAAAAATAACATGTTAGAATATTGTAGCCTATCATTTCTGATAAATATATTTTTTCACTCGCGGTTTCTTTATACCAAAAGTGAATTGAGCATTTCTATCGCAGGAAAACTGTTGAAATTATCAAAATTAAACACGTTTAAATATAAAAAGCGACAATCTTAATTAAATATATTATTGATTAGGTATAGGTTTCAAGGGTACTGTTGTAAATCAGGCATTGACTTCTGTGCATGGAGGGTCACTTAAAGTCACGCTTCCGGTCCCTTTAAACAGTTGAATATTATTTCAGATAAGATTGACTGGGGGTGAACCCTTGGTACGACCTGATATAGTTGAAATAATCAGGTAAACATCTTTCATTCTTTTAGAAAGATATTAAATACCAGGTAAAGATTGAAAAGTACTTTCTCGGGCTAAAATTGCATAGGATGGATAACTGTGGAATAGGAAGACGACATTTAAGTAGACTTATGTGTATCTGTTTCTGATATAAAGCTTATAGTTTTATTTTATCAGCTTCAAATTATACTTTTTAAGTAAAAAGAGTCTGTGTACACTTCACATTAATGTGTTTTGTTAAGAATATTTTTTGGACTATTTATAATCATTTAATAGACTAACAGTTGTCATCCTATTCAACATTCGCCTATGAGTACTACTCGGTACTGTTACAGGTACAGGATTATTTAATCCATTCATTGAAAGAATTAATTAAATGTCGTATTCTTTACTTTCTGATAATGGAATGTTGCAGACATTTAGTTTTTTAATAAAATGATTATATGGAGCTCTTTAAAACTGTTCCCGCATATTAATGGCTATTTATTTGTTTTCGCAAATACTGAGATTTAATTGAAATAGTAAAAAACCCATTGAAAAATTGTCACGACGACATTAAATAAATTCTTTCGATGTATGGCTCATTTAGAGTTTAACTGTATATAAACAACTCAGTGATGGTCCTACCATGGTTTTTACACCCCAGAAAATCCAGACTGTATAAAAACTGCAAATCCGGAATTTCAAAACATGTGAATCCGCTAAAAGATGTTTATTTTTTCCCAATAAAATATAGGTATAGTTTTCAACAAGCAATGGAGATGTCTTAATACCATCTGTCGTTATTGTGTAGTTTTATTTTATAATGTAATGTACTGCACAAATAGCAAACTTTCAAAACACCTTTTTATGAAAACAAAGGCTGGAAGAGTCTCATGTTCTATGACGTACCTCATTTTGTAAATAAAATTTTTTCCCTTAAGATATTTTTATTTTAAAGGGAGCTGCGAAGCATACCTGGATTGCAAACCATTGCAATGACAACTAACGGAGTTACTCTAAGGTATTCGACTTTTCTGTTTACGGTTTGTTATTTTTTAATAAGAAATTAATACTTAACTCCAGTTTTGTTTTGCATAATTTAAGTCAAATATGAAGCTGTGTATTATAAAAACGTTGCCTAAAGGTCGTCTTTCTTGCTGTTGGATTTCAGTCTTGTCTTTTTTAGTCAAACTTATACAATATTAGGTTATTATTGACAATATTCTTAAATGATAGATGCACTAATAATTTCGTGGTCAATCAAAATGCCGCGTAGATTGAAGACGATAATCCAATATTTCTGTATTTCTATTTAGTAAACGCCTGGTAGAGTTGAAGAGTGCTGGGTTGGATGCCCTCAATATATCCCTGGATACTCTTATCCCAGACAAATTCCAGTTCGTCAGCAGACGACCTAAAGCTGCCCACGCCAAGGTAATTACTTTTTTTTAAAGGGAGAGTCTGGCTAGACATGGCAGTTGAGTTAAGAATGCAGTATTGTAGAGACAGATTTTAGGATTAATTTGATACCAATCAGACGTTTTTACGATGTATGTTCGTTCAGCAAGAGCGTAAATTCAATCTTTAAAATTCCAAATACAAAAGTTTCTTTATAATAATGTATTTTTAAATCTCACTCTGGAATCAATAATTGGTTTTGTACCAGTTTTCTCAAATATCAGAACACAACAATCCCTGTAAATGTTTCTAAATAAATAATAATATTCAATTAATTTAGTTGAAAATCTATTTTTGTTAAGGTTCTCTCTGCTATAGAGAAATCCCTCGAACTAGGATACAAACCACTTAAAGTAAGTTGTTTCTGCAACATACATTATGCATTAATTGTCAACATTTAAATAATCAATATTTTAAGTTTAAACAATTTATTTCTAGATAAACTGTGTAATGATGAAAGGTTTAAACGACGACGAAATTCTTGATTTTATCGAGCTGACTAGGAATAAACCCATCGATGTCAGGTCATATTTTTAATATTTGAGAATAGTTCACTGTCGTATCCTTAAATTATTCATATGAAACACAATGAGGGTGATTTATGCGTTTTTTTATTTTATAAAAAGATGCACTTTGTCAATTTACTTTCTTTTTATGCATAAATGCGCGAGTAACTTTATTAATTATTAAGGGGGGGGGGCAATTCGAACTTTGTAAATTTTGTACAAAAGTAGCGAGAGTCTTTGCCACAAACTCAAATGTTCTAATCCCTATATCTCTGCAATCTGATGGTGTAAATATTTGATATTTAAAGAATTCATAGTTTGAAATATCTAAGATCTACGANACTGGTAGACTCAAGTTATGACTTTAAATGTGGAATAGGAAGACAAGGACAACTGGTAGACTCAAGTTATGACTTTAAATGTGGAATAGGAAGACAAGGACAACTGGTAGACTCAAGTTATGACTTTAAATGTTGAATAGGAAGACAAGGACAACTGGTAGACTCAAGTTATGGCTTTAAATATGGAATAGGAAGACAAGGACAATGGTAGACCCAAGTTATGACTTTAAATGTGGAATAAGAGGACAAGGACAACTGGTAGACTCAAGTTATGACTTTAAATGTGGAATAGGACATTTGACCAATTTCACTTAATTAGTTGGTTTTCTAGCAACTGGCAAAACTATTTTTTTTAAACATTTTTTAAATCAAATTTTAATTTTTTTTTTTTTAAATATTGGGGACAGATCATTTTTCATTTTCCTTCTTTTGTTGACTCTCCCTTCGGCAAGTTGCAGCACTAAAAACTAACAAACAGAATCAAATACTAATTGATTAAATATCGTCTTCCTATTCTACAGTTTTATGGGGTTAACTGTAAACATACAAAACAAGAATATCTCAAGCATTGTTATCCATGGTCAGAAGGATATCACCGGTGTGAATTAACCTATAGTATCATTATCAACATATTTTGATAATTTAGAACACAAATACAGGTTGCTTCTGAATTCCTAATATGCATTTGATTCACTGTGATTTAAAGGATGCAAGCTTTCACACATAAGTTAATGAGAATTTTGCCAATTACTTCTTAAAAACTAAAGATAAAAACAAGTGCTTTAGCGATTTAAAATGTAGATGTTTGGGGATACAAAAAGTCTAAATAAGTTAGAGCGGTAGAATCAAAGCCCAAGGCGTTTCGACACTTCAAAGTCGACCCTGTCTTGAACACTTATGCAATATGCAATATGCTGAATCTATGTAGATTGTGATTTGTGATTGGTGACTAGAATTGGTCCATGAAATATTGTAATCAATTAGGTTTATTGGGTATATTGTAATCAATTAGGTTTATTGAGTATATTGTAATCAATTAGGTTTATTGAGTACATGCCGTTCGATGGGAACAAGTGGAATGATAAAAAGATGCTTCCTTATCAAGCCATGCTTAAGATTATCAAGGATAAATATCCAGAATTCAGGTAATATTTCAAACTAAAGATTGCTTTAATTAAAGGGCGAATCTTTCCTTTTTTGTAAATAAAACACTGATATAAGAGAAAGAAAAATCCGCAAAGTTCTATTTTGCTATTTTTATAGTAATGTTTTCGTAAACGTGTTGTCGTTGATCGAAGCAACAATTCCGTTGCGGGAAGCCTAAAGTTTACATTTTACAATTGTTTAGGAAAGAAACAGTCATTGCACATTTCGTGTATTAGGTTTCTTTCACTTACATTCTTAAAACTTATTTCCTTTTTTCTTAATATTTTTGAGGATCACTGTATAGAATGAATATATTTATATTATTATAGACGGATAGATGATGCCCCTAATGACACCTCTAAGGGGTATCAAGTTCAAGGATTTCAGGTATTTATAAATAATTGATAATTGCAGTTAGAACCAGAATATTGTTGAATGAATGTTGTCTATGTCCTTTCTATAATCTTGAAAATGCCACAAAGGATTTTACAATTTATGATTGTTGCAACTGATTTATTGATAGAAATGTTTTTTTAAAATAATTCAGAAAAAGAATCAATTTTTTTTATAAATATTGCGCAGTCTATCTATCAAATATATCATAATATAAGAGATTGCAAAGACATCATCATCATTTGAGTATTATTAAAGACATCCTTTCATAGGAGACCCCAATGAAAACCTAGGGTCTCCATGGAAGAGCTTGAGGCTCTCCGATGACATTCTGGGTCTCCAATGAAAAGCTTTTGGGGTCTCCAATGAAATTCTATAGGTTTCATGGATAGTAGTACTCTTCCCGGACTCATATTATAGTTTGTTTTAATTGGCCAGGGTCAAATTGGGTTCATAACTTCGATGTCTGAAAACTTCTGCGGATCTTGTAATCGTCTTCGGTTAACAGCTGATGGAAACCTGAAGGTTAGTATTCTGCGGATCTTGTAATTGTCTTCGGTTAACAGCTGATGGAAACCTGAAGGTTAGTATTCTGCGGATCTTGTAATCGTCTTCGGTTAACAGCTGATGGAAACCTGAAGGTTAGTATTTTCCGGGATTTATTTCGCAGATAATTGTTTAGTTCTGGGAAACTAGAATCAAGGAATATTTCAAACTTTGACTTTTAGACCCTAGTCCTAACCGAATTGAATAACCAAGATTTTAAAAGTTTACACCTACAGGTTGCAAAGATAATGAGTTAGAATAGATTAATCAATTGCTTTGTTTATTCAAGTTATTTGAATACTAGAAATATGAAAAAAGAAGTGAGCGAAAAGCAAGTGTGAAAGAAGGAGTGGAGAGACCTATTTACAACATGCACACTTGCCTCAAACTTGAATTTTCGAATCCATATATCTCTGCAAGTTATAGTGTAAACCTCTGATATTTTAAATTTTGGCTAGTTGATAATAACTAAAGGTTATAATCGCGCCAAGTTGCAAATATTCAAAGACTAATTAATGCAAACAAATTATTTGAAAAAACAATGTATTTACTGAATTGTGCATGAGAACAATTTTAAAAGAGAATACTTCAGTTAAATCTTTGTCTCTCAGTCGAGCTTTAAAAATCTGAGGACATACCACCGTAAACTGATCGGTTCATTTCAAGTACTGAACTATACACTTTACAATTACAAACTATATAAGGCAAGCTGGGAAAGTATACGCCAAATGAATGATCCCCTTCTAGTGAAATTTATGTACTGCGTCCTATCTCTTTGTTAAGGTCGTGGGTCCAATTATTGCATGATCCGAACCGGTACAAGGATTTACCAGTCTAGTGTAATTGTACAAACGTACATTCATTCATACCGTCGGGTCTAGACTACCCAGGTGTAGTCGACCCAGCGCGTTTGATTACAAAATGTAGTCTGGCTGGATATATTTGGCGGGGACGTACAACCTATCCTATAAAAAGTTTATTTTAAAGGTTTGCTTGTTTGGAAATGCTGAAGTGTCTCTGAGAGATGCTCTGAGAAGCGGTATGAAGGAAGAGGAGTTAAAAGAGCTAATTGGTAAGGATCTAACACTGTCTTCCCAACATTTAAAACAAATTATTAGGGATTTTTAACAAATTGGTTAGAATCTAAAACGAAGTTTGGTATTTTCATCGCTTCCTGGTCCCTTTCCAACATTTGCATGCACCATAAAGAAAACCAGTCCTAGTCGCAACGCTCGGCCACCTGGGCTAAAATTGTCTCAACCCAACCTAACAGCTGATATACATGGGTTCACCATCAAAGAACGAGTCTGAAACTGTTGAAATATGACGGTCCCATGGTTTAATTAAGTTTTCCGCCTGGTCTATTTAAAGAATTGGCAAAGAAAGAAGTAAGTTTACAGTTGCTGTATATCATGAATATAAGTAAGCAGCTTTGTGGGTAACCCTGTAACAGAGGTGTATATTGCGAATATTTTGCCTAATTTAGATAATTTATTGATAATTTATGTATTTTCAACACAATTTTATCTTTACTCAAAAGAAGACGTAATTGATAGGTAGGAAGAGTAATTTTCTGTCATACGGATTAGTTTAACCCGATTTAGATAATTTATTGATAATTTATGTATTTTAAACACAATTTTCTCTTTATTCAAAAGAAGACGCAATTGAAAGGTATGAAGAGTATTTTAAAGAGAATTAAACTTTTTTCTAGTTTTTATTTCTAAAAATACATTTTTCTGTCATACAGATTAGTTTAACCCTAAGGTTTAACCTGATTTAGATAATTTATTATTAATTTATGTATTTATATATATATCAACACAATTTTCTCTTTATTCACTATTCAGAAGAAAGGTAAAGTAAAGTATGAATAGAAATTTTTTCTATTTTTATTTTTAAAAATACATCGTCCTTTATATCAGATTAATGTGGATGATGTAAAAACTCTGTTTCAGGAATGGCTGTGAATAGGAAGAAAGCAAGACATGCAGGAATAAAGATTTAACAGTAAAAAAAATAATGATAATTTTCTAGAAACAATATTTAATCCCCAAGTTGTTAAATATCCGTGTGTGTACTATTTTCCAGTTTAAACTGGATTCTTAAACAAAAAAAAATTTAACGAGGATTTGAAATTATGAAAAAGACGAATTACGAATTTAATCGTAATCAAAATTGTAAATTGCAACCAACAATACCACTGAGTCAATAGAAATCAAGAGACGAATTCGAAAGGATCTTAGTAAAAATTTAACGCTGCAAATACCTTATTTCAATGTCCCTAATAAAGTTAGTAAAGTAAAGTAACATAAACTAAAGAGTAGACACAATTCTACAGGATCCTCCTCCTCACATTGTTTGGTCTCATTCTTGTGACAAACAGAATTTTTTTTTTGAATTCCCATTAACCAATTATACTTAAAACCAGTTTTCAGAACAATGGTTAAGACATAGAAAGCAAATTCTAAATCCTAGTCATAGATTACTTTTCGACGCATTCGTGCAAAGTTAATATTTCATGATATTTTTGATTAAAAAAAAATAATATTTCGCTGGCGCTGGATTTTCGATCATTCCTGGAAAATATGAAAATGTTGTCATCATTATAAAAATCTTCGAAACAGGAATAAATGTTTTCAAAAGTAACTATCTGATCATAAAAAAAAAATTTAAATATGAACTATATACGAATGCGTCGAAAAATTATCGATGATTATTGGTTGTAATATATGAATGATTTGTTTGGAATTAATTGATTATTTTACGATCCGAGTTTGAATGTTGGAACTTTCTGAATTTGTATGGATGCTACGTCCTTCAGCATTAGTCGTTTTTAACAATTTTCTCCGTTTAGACGCAACAGATAGAATTAAGATTAGTAACGATCAAAAGCGCTTATTTTTACCTGTAAGTTTATACCCCCCTTTTAATTTTTAGCGAACATTCCCTTTAAGGGATCATTTTGCAACTGACACGTATATTTGATTTCCAAAAGCACCAAAAAATGTAAAATTCTAATTTTTCTAGACTACGTAGTTTTATGTATAATTTCCTCTCAACTACGTGGTTTATTGTTTAACTTTGAATTTTTTTCTCAATGAACTTCTTGAGAGTAGCTCAGCCTTAAAGTCTATTTTAATTCTTTTAATTTCTAAAAAAATATAACTCTTTAGCATTAAGATTTTATAAACCCTATTTTTAAATCTTGATATCAGGGATGACCAACCTAAAGGGGATGAAAAATCGGCCGATGATATTGATCGGTGGATGACTAGCATCGAATGGATGGGATAAACCATCATTCCCATCCGACTCCTCTGATAACTTGTCATTCACATCCAGATTTTCATCCGTTCACAACTCCCATTGTTGGGTTTTTACAAAACTATCTAATATTTGTGATTTATTATTAACTGGAAATAGTCTCTTATTCCTTACTCCAGATACAAGCAGTTCCTCCTTCCTTCCTCCAGATACAAGCAGTCCCTCTTTTCTTCCTCCAGATACAAGCAAACCCTCCTTCCTTACTCCAGATACAAGCAGACCCTCCTTCCTTTCTCCGGATACAAGCAGTCCCTCCTTCTTTCCTCCAGATACAAGCAAACCCTCCTTCCTTTCTCCAGATACAAGCAGTCCCTCCTTCCTTACTCCAGATACAAGCAGTCCATCCTTCTTTCCTTCAGATACAAGCAGACCCTCCTTCCTTACTCCAGATACAAGCAGTCCCTCCTTCCTTCCTCCAGATACAAGCAGTACCTCTTTCCTTCCTCCAGATACAAGCAGACCCTCCTTCCTTACTCCAGATACAAGCAGTCCATCCTTCTTTCCTTCAGATACAAGCAGACCCTCCTTCCTTTCTCCAGATACAAGCAGTCCCTCCTTCCTTCCTCCAGATACAAGCAGTCCCTCTTTCCTTCCTCCAGATACAAGCAGACCCTCCTTCCTTACTCCAGATACAAGCAGACCCTCCTTCCTTTCTCCAGATACAAGCAGTCCCACCTTCCTTACTCTAGATACAAGCAGTCCCTCCTTCCTTTCTCCAGATACAAGCAGACCCTCCTTCCTTCCTCCAGATACAAGCAGTCCCACCTTACTTACTCTAGATACAAGCAGACCCTCCTTCCTTTCTCCAGATACAAGCAGTCCCACCTTCCTTTCTCCAGATACAAGCAGACCCTCCTTCCTTCCTCCAGATACAAGGAGTTCATCCTGCTTAAGTCTAGATACAAGAACTAACAGCCGATATCACACCAAAACAATCCAACAGTATAAACTTGATTCAACATTGATAAATTCTGTTTCTCATTGGCTGCCCAATAATACAATTCATCGGAAGCCTTCAAATTCGCTTCTTTTGAGGTAAATCTGATTTAATCGAGTCGTTAAAGGGACTGTAAGCGTAATTATAAGCGCACCTCACTCTAAAATCGTTGCATGATCCGAGCCGGTACAACATTTACTGTATTGAGTATTCAGTCGTATTGTCCAGTCTGGAATACCCAGTGTAAAGTTGACACAGAACGTTTTATGCAACAAAAGGTTTGCCTGATCAAATTCAAATTGGATATCCATGATTTGTTCATATTCAAATTTCTTATTTGTAGTTTCTCTGCAAATTTGACTTGCACATTTCTTCATTGTAAGAAACTTCTGAGAAATTAAGACAAACCAGCACTTTTCGATTTAGAAAAACGACGTAATCTTCCACATTTTTCATCAGATTAAGGTTTAGATGGTTTTACCGTTGTAAATCGGGAATTTTAATCTTTGCATGCACGAGGGTCACTTTTAATATTACGCTTACATTTTCTTTAATTATGTTAGGTAAGAGTAATGTATAAGAGTTTTTTTGATCCAATAGAAAGGAAACTGTTGACGTAATGTCAAGGTGATCTTTATGTAGAATGTTAGATTCAGATTGATTTCCAATTACTGATTCTTTGGAGGAAATGAGGCTTGCGGATTATGGTACAGAGAAAATTGTGATGATTTAATACTTTTAATATAGACAAGCGGAAATATCTTTCTCATTGTTACTCAAACAGAGGTTTAGAGTACTATCACAGTCGAAATGAATAATACGTTAAAATAACGTCTACAGATCTTTAAATTTCATCAAAATCTAGATTTTTGTATTTTTTGCTGCTTACTTTCATTTTTACATTATGTTTCTACTATCAAAACAACTTCATATCTTGTGCAATTGCTTTTTCGATGGTTGCCCATAAATATTGGAAATGAAGAAAATGAAAAAATTATTTCTTAAACATTACTTAATCTAATTGTTAATTTATTTCAGATTTTTCTGCACAGACTCGGCGAACCAAAGTGAAATTGCTTCGAGTAAGATTTGTGAAGAAACTAAAACTGTTGATGTAGGGGACTCCCTTACCCACGTAGATTCTAAGGAAAACAGAATAAACAACGTATTAATGAAGAAAATAATTAATCTATATATTCTAGATGTTTTGAAACTGCGAAGTATTAAACATACTAACCTTTGAATGTTTAAAATTCCATTTTAAATAATATAGTTGTAAGAATAATTTTTTAATAATAGTTGTAAGAAACCAACAAGTTTGAAAACAAATGTAACGAGATGATTTGTACTGTACTTGCAGTACAGTTATGCGCGTCGATCTACAGTTTATGCAATCCTTGTTCCACAGCCCATGGGTTACAGGATACCCTATGCAGGATTAAGTTTTTATTGAGCGATCAAGCATTGATCCTCAAATTTAAAAGGTCCCAAGATATCGAAAAATTCCGATATTAGGACATTCATTAAATGACGCAGTAAAGGAACTAAACACCTCCAACACTAATTCTAATTTTAAACTACCTAGATCAAATTAAATTAAATCAAATCAGACTTTTAGGGACGTCCTTCTTCCACAATACCATTTTTAGGTAAATTTACAAAATATAATCTTTGCAACCCAATGTCTTAGTGCGATATTTTAAACTTTATAAGTTATGTTAGACAAAAATGGAATAAGTTTAAACATCAAAGGTTTACACGATATAATTGCAAAGAAAAAGGGATTAGAAAAACAGTTTCTTTTGAGGTCGGTATCGTTATTATCACACAACTTATGATATGAGCTGAAGTGCCCGGCGTTGCCCGTGGAATTTTAGAAACACTTAAGAAAAGTGATAAAAAAATAGTTTTTGAAGAAAAATGTCTACTTTTTTAGTCTATGTTACCCTTAGGGTACTCATTGGTTCTCTAAAAAGAATTTAGCCAATTTGGTTCTGCTGTTTGGACAATTGTTTGTTCGTTTACCCCGCAGGGCAAGGCCAATATGGTGGACGTGGAGGGAAAAATGGCGACCAACAGATCAGCTGTTGCCGTAGGAACAATTTGTTTAGGTAAACAATTAATTATAAATAACGCTGGCGTACATTCTCATTTCTGAATTTCCATTTAGATAATTTATTTTTTATTTTTTATTCACAAATATTCTAAACTTCATATTGAACGCTTTAACATTTTGGAAATAGACATGGAAAAAAATAAACAAAGAATAAAAAAATACATTATCGAATCCCTTTATCTGTGCAACCTGATGTGGTAGACTTTTAATATTTCAATTAGAATTCTGCAAAATCAAAGAGTTGAAGTTTGAAATTTCAAAAGTTTTACCATCAGGCTTCGAATATAATATGGCGTAGAAATTAGAGTTTGTGGCGAAGAGGGTTTCTATTTTCCAGCGAACGAAACGTATCGCGAAAAAATGTGAAAATTTCGCATTTTGCAAAAATACTTTCGAAATTTCGCGAAAAAACGAAAATTTTCGCATTTTCGAGAGCAAACGAAATGAAAAAAATGAGAAATTTTCGCGAAACGATTTTCCTTTTTCGCTGGAAACCCGAAAGGCGAGTGTTCATGTTCTTAAACAAATCAAAATGTAATATTTCTAATTGAAAAATATTTTTTAATGAAAAATATTCAGGTAAAAAGACGTTTGACCTTGTTGCCAACAATAGAATGTCCAAGGTAAGAAAACAAATTAATTTTTTTTTCATGTTTTAATAATTTCTTTAAATTTTTATTTTTTTATTTTCAATACAATTACAATTCATTTAACATGATTGTCCAGGGATTTTTCTTTGTTTTGGCCTAAAATTTGGTTTTTGGCCTTAAATATTTGTAAAATGCCAAATGATATTGTAACGGATAGAAGTCTGTACGCCAATTTTTCTAGTTTTTAAAAGAATAACCAAAAAGCATGAATTCGAAAAAGGCTGTCTCACGATTAGTACTTTCTAGATGGATTTAAAATTTCAACCTCTCTTCTCACAACGCGTGGATACTTTTTATTTAGAATGAATCTAAATTAGAATTCCATTATAATTAATGCTTTATTCTTCATAAACCTTTTAATTAATTTATACCTTCTACGTATATGTTTTCTCATTTTTCATATTGATTTCACTAATGTGAAGTTCTCTAATGTTTCAGAATAAACGTCATGCATTTAAATGAAATAACTAATTACTCTGATCAACTCATATTCATATTTTCTAGCCCCCATATCGCGCGTTACAAATGTAAATTTAGGATATTTTTGACTTTGACTATTTCAGCGCACAGAATGTTTGAAAGGTCTATTTGAGTAGGAGGAGAGTAACTAGTTCATTAATTTTGTTTTCCAACAAATTTTGAAATTAACATAAACAGTTTTTTATCTAAAAACAGAGCTGGGAACTCTTGTATTGTGGATATGGAGATCAATGCTTGATCTCGACCTTTTGTTAATCTGCAGATTAACTTAATCTTTATTCGATATTTGCATGGTTATCGTAGATCCTGTAATCAAAAGTGGATATCGAGATCTATGGATAGAGATCATGAGTATCCATCACAAAAGTTGTCAGCTCAGGATTCATATGAATATGTGAATATGAACCTACAGAGATAAAAACGAATTACCCTATTTCTGGATTGTAATAGTTTTAATACACTGCAGAGGAATTGTAAAGTAAAGTTTAGCTAATGAACAAAAGTTTTCAAAAATTATAGGAAAAGTTCTCAAACCAAACTCTTATTTGATAAGTCTATCCCACAGTAATCTATGATAATTTTGCCAATTTCTTCTTAAAAACTGAAGATAAAATCAAGCGCCTTTAAGTTTCAAAATTAACATGTCTAGGCTAACAACAAAGTATAAGGGAGTTAGCGAGGTATAATCTAGGCCAAGGTGTTGCGACCCTTTAAAGTTGGCCCAGTCTTAAAAATTGCTGTAGTTTTTCCTCGCAGTCTTGATCTTTGTGATTAGTTCGGTTGAGTTAATCAACCTATACATAACTGATTGAAAAAGTGATCTCGCTTCCAGCACTTTTTTTAATGATTGTTAAAGGAAAAAATAATTGTACTTTAGGGTGATGTTTTAACTGTAGCAGAAGTCGCTGGTATAATGGCAGCAAAGGAAGAATATTTAAAACTTTTGAAAAAATCAAAGTGATTTATGACTAAATTTTATGTGATCTTTCAGTAAAAAAGTGACGTTTGAACACCTTAATATGATCTGTAATGTTGTTTTTCTAGCTTTGAAAAGTGTTTAATTTTTGGAAATTTCTTCATTGTTTCTTTTTTGTCACTTTTTAAAAATAAAAAATGGATATCCTTCATTCTTGATTAGACAAAGCTTGTGAATCAGACATGTCACTCTTGAAATTTAAACTCAATTCTTAGAAATTTAAATATACTTTTCCTACGTCTCATATTTAATTTCTAGATTGGAACTGAGGTCTGGTCTAGAACTCCGATTTTTCAATCCCTATATCCTTGTAACCCAATGTCTTAAAGAACTATATGATTTCAAACTATAAATAACCAGTTTATATTTAAAAAAAGAATATTAAATAAATCCTCTGAAATTAAATTGAAAAATATTCTTTTGATTGAAGAACACATCCAACCTTATTCCTCTCTGCCATCCTCTCCTTATTAACAAAATAGATATCAAGTAAGTAAATATTTTTTAATATATATATAACTAGACTTCGCTTTGCGCCCCTTTTCTATTAACGGTTTTTACTGTTAACCCCTCTTTAAGCTTCCATTTATCTTTGTAAATCGTAATACTAACAATTTCGTGGATTTTTATGTTCAAGTTGATGGGTTAAAAAAAAAAAAATGTTGACATTTTTTTCCACGTAACATTTTTGAAATTTGACCGTCCATAAATTGTCGTGTGCGTACCGCTTGAAATTTAAGACCCGATCTGTTCAGCCGTCTTGACGTTTATTTAGTAAAAAAAAACTTAATTTTCTTAGTTTTTTTTTGCTTCGAATAAAAAACGTCAATGCAAATATTGACAATTATAACACTTAATGTCCTGTAACTAAATTTTTCAGATAGTCGGACCAGCAAGTATTCACATTTGACAAAACTTAAGACTGCTTAATGATCGTGGCTCGTATATAAAAATTTTAGGCTTCTTAGAATGAAGGAAAGCAGCAACGAAGGGCCTGACAAAATTTTTTTAGTTTACACAAAGAAACGAAATATTTTTTTAAAAACTTTTTTCTTTAAAGGATAACGCTTGATGAATTAAGAAGCTCTGCTGTAGTGGAATGTACGGTTAATTGTTCAGGAAAAACAGGTTTACATTGCACTTTACTGAACTGCACTGGACTTATTGAACTGTACTGCACTTATTGAACTGATGTGCTGTATTATTGTGTGCTATATTGTCCAGTACTGAATTGTACAGTACTTTATTGTACTGTACTGTATTTTACTGTACTGTACTGTATTGTGCTTTTTTGTACTCTACAGTATTGTACTGTATTGTACTGTACTGTATTGTACTTTATTGTACTGTGCTGTATTGTACTGTACTGTATTGTACTGTACTGTATTGTACTGTACTGTATTGTACTGTATTGTACTGTACTGTACCGTACTGTACTGTATCGTACTGCACTGTATTGTACTGTACTGTATTGCACTGTACTGTATTGTACTGTACTGTATTGTACTGTACTGTATTGTACTGTACTGTATTGTACTGTACTGTATTGTACTGTACTGTATTGTACTGTACTGTATTTTACTGTACTGTATTGCACTTTAGTGTATTGTACTGTACTATATTGTACTTTATTGTACTGTACTGTATTGTACTGTACTGTATTGTACTGTACTGTATTGTACCGTACTGTATTGTACTGTACTGTATTGCACTGTACTGTATTGTATTGTATTGTACTGTACTGTTTTGTACTGTACTGTATTGTACTGTACTGTATTGTACTGTGCTGTATTGTACTGTACTGTATTGTACTGTACTGTATTGTACTGTACTGTATTGTACTGTATGTACTGTACTGTATTGTACTGTACTGTACTGTACTGTACTGTATTGTACTGTACTGTACTGTATTGTACTGTACTGTATTGTACTGTACTGTATTGTACTGTACTGTACTGTACTGTACTGTACTGTGCTATACTGTATTGTACTGTACTGTATTGCACTTTAGTGCATTGTACCGTACTGTATTGAACTTTACTGTATTGTACTGTACTGTACTGTAATTGGTCTCTAATTTGAAAATACTGGATACGAATAGAGTTTAATGTTAGCTATTTTTAATTTATGGGTTTTTCCGATCATTTTTAACAATTACTTCCCAACCACAATTCTTTTGATTTTTAACAAAAATTCTGTTTTTGTTGTCAAAAAGATATATTGAAAAATACATTTGATTCTAGGAGTGGAAATGGAGGCACTTACCGGGGTTTCAGTCACCTTGCTCACATTATATGATATGTGTAAAGTAAGATTTTTCTAAATTAAAATCATTAAAAAAATATATAAATTAACAGGGAAAAAAATGTTGTCGTCTTTAGTTGGCACTTCTTGTATGAAAAAGTAATATTTTGAAAAAGAACAAAAATAACAAAATGATAATTATAAATAAACTAATAATAGTGATAATGATAATAATAATAATAATAAAAAGTTTAATCCAAACAGTAAGAATAGTAATAATAATAATAAACATCATAATGGAAAGATGAAAAATTTGAAACTGCGCAAATTAAAACAGAAAACCAAACCAAATACGATTTACAAAGAAAAATGGCAGCTTGAAGAGCAGCAGTTAATTCATTGTTCTAAAGATAATGGCTGCGAAGCGCTTTAAAAACCTATTTACACTAAAAATGATAATTGTTAAGATAATAATAATAATACTAACAGTAATGATAACGATAATAATATTGATAATAATAATAATAAAACAAATTAAAATAAAAATGTTTAGGCTGTTTCAAAGGACATGGAGATCAAGAACATCAAGCTGATTAGTAAATCTGGGGGGAAAACTGACTATTGCGCAACAAATTAACAATATTTAACAAATCTTTTTAGGAACCGAGTTTTTGCTAAAAACCCTGATTGGTTAACCCCCATATCTTTGCAACCCGATGAGATAGACCTTTAGTATTTCAACCATCTATGTTTAAAAATTAAAGGTTTACACCATTAGGTTACAATGATATACGAAGGAATAAGAACATTTTAGTTTTTTATAAACTAAGTAACTAAAACTTACCCTTTTTTAGAGTTTTGAAACATTTACTTTTCTTAAAAATGTAACTTTATGATTATGTATTTTTTTAGATAAATCAGAATGTATGTACATTGTATGTACAATATGTTTTCTATTATGTATATTTCATATTGAATGTTTTCAAATATTTGTCACTTTTATAATCAAACATATTTTCTAATAAATATTTTAAGTTTCTTGTTTTCAATAAAAGAGCAAATTAGGAAATGAAAATTGAAAGTTGAAACAAGAAATAAAGAAATTGAGATTTTGTCGCAAACTTAAATTATTTAATCCTTGTATCTTTGCAACCTCATGGCGCAAACCTGTTTTTTTTATAAACTAATACTATTTGATATAGAAGAATTTATAGTTTGAAATCAGGTTGCAAAGATATTGGGATTAGAAAATCAGAGATCGTTGGATAAACTCACTCGTTTGGAACATTTTTGAGAATATTATTAACTCAATAAACAGGAAACAGAGTTGGACATCCTGTAAATCATAAAAAAGAGCATTAAAGCACAGAAAGAAAAAAAGAAAGAAAGAAAGAAAGAAAGAACAAATGCTTAAATAAAGAATGAAAGAAGAAAGAATAGGATAGAAAGATAGAAAGCAAGAAAAAAGTAAAAAAAAGAAATTAAGAAAGAAGGGAAAAGGGAAAGAAAGAAATAAGGAAAGAAAGAACGAAAAAATATATGAGAGAAAGAAAGGCATAAATAAAGAATAAAAAATGAATGAAAGAAAGAAACAAGGTTTGAAGGAAAAAAGAAGTTAAGTATAGAAAGAAAATAAGAAATAAAGAAAAAAAGGAAGAAAGAAACAAAGAAAAAATGTATGAAAGAATTAAGGAATGAAACAAAGAAAGACATAAACAAAGAATGAAAGAAAGAATGAAAGAATGAAAGAAAAAATCAAAGAAAGAACGAAAAAATGAAGAAAAAAATTGATTTCCATCTATTCCGTTCGTCTTCTCGGTGAACAATTAGTTATTAAAATCATTCATTAAGTATAAAATCGTTCGTTCATTAAAAAAATTATGGTTTAATTGTTTTTCAAAAGTTTGTCGAAAAAAATCGTTTGTCCAGTAAAATGTTTTTTTTTTCATTTCTCTGAACGATCCAAGTTGTTCTTCTATCGTTTTTCTTCTGAACGACACCATCGTTACACAAAATTTCATTTGTTCATGAAAATGACGCCCTTCTCTAGATAACAGGAGGTGGAAATGACGATTGAAGATTGTAAGATTACAAGATTTGCAAGCATTAATGTTGTGCAATGGTTTAATAAATACTAATTATCGTTACTTTTATATCTACCTCTGAGACTATTTTATATCAATAAAAACATTATAAATTCTGCTGCTTCATTAAATACATTTGAACATGCATATTGTACACTCACAGTCTTTTTTTTTACTAGAGCGTGAATAAGCTTCTAAAGGGACTGTAGGTGTAATGTCAAGTGACCTTTGTGTGGCGGCATGATACATTACGGTAACATCAAGAAATGATAAAGGTGTCATTATTTTTATTTAAAATTGTCAATTTCGGATATTTCCCTTCTTTGTCTCTGCAGCAAAAATCCGAAGTCACTTTATTCAAATTGAAATTATGTGAACAGTCCCTTTAAGTCCGGATATGACCAAATATGGAAAAATGTCTGAAAACTCGTGAAAATGAATTTTCTATATTTAGAAGCGTAGATATTGTTTTTTCATGAAAGAATGTAAATATTTTTCTTCAAGGCTGAACTTCTCTTTAGGGTAATTTGAATTATAACCGGGG